TCTGCCAAGATCTTTCTAGCACACCCTTCAAGCAAACCGAGTCTCCCTTCCCAGCAGCTCTTGGCCGTCAGTGCAAGATTGAAGACAGGTGCTTTATGGAGTGAGAAATGAGAACTATCGTTTGCTTGGGGTACTAACGAAATGACTTGCCTTTGTGGGCCGCAGTTTCTTCTCTGTGACTAAAGGCAACCCTGTCTACTCCCCTGGTGGTGATGAAATGCTGTGTCAGCAGAAGGGAAGAGAAGGGGAGTGGAGGGTTTCCTTGGCACACAGCTGGGCTGTCAGAAACCCCTCCGGGTTCGGAGGTAAACGGAGAAAGCTCCTCAGCAACTTCCCCCAGTCTTATCTGCCCTGGAACACACATCCTCCCCTGTGTGGTTTGCCTGACCGATCAGTGACCTGTGCATCAGGCTGGGGCAACTTCATGCTTTGATTTATTCTAGGTTCCTGGTCCGAAAGGGCTTTCTAGCTCCTGAACCCTCTTAAGAAACTTTACCCTTTCTTGAAAGTCCACCTCCTGTCTCACCTCTCTAAAGAGGTGCCTAGAATTCCTCTCTCTTCCCTCTTCCCCTGTGTCCCCTGCTCCTGCCAGCCCTTACCCCCTTCCCCACAGATGACAGGCAACATTCCTTATATACTACCCTTAGGAGGGAAGGGACATCATTGTGTCAAAAGTCAATTTAACAATCATTGATTTTTCAAAACTCAAATCTTAAAAGCCTTGGCTTTTAACTAGCTATCTGAAACATAATGGTTTGGTTTATTTTGTTTTTACTTGTTGGGAAACATCCCTGTATATCGAGTCAAGAGCAAAGTGCTTAGACAGGGTAGAGTTTTATTTCAAAAAAACACACACATCAGAACTTGTCGTAGTTTGAATGTTCTCGGCCTCCATAAGCTTATAGGGAGGTGTAGCCTTGTTGAAGGAAGTGTGTCACTGTGGGGGTGGGCTTTGAGGTCTCTTTTGCTTAATCTCCACTCTGTGCCACATCCCCCTTCTTGTTGCCTGCTGACCAAGATGTTGCCGGCACCACATCTGCCTGCACCGAGCATGCAGCCATGTTCCCCGCCATGATAATATGGACTGAACCTCTGGAAAGGAAAGCAAGTTTCCCCAAATAAATGTTTCCCTTTGTAAGAGCTGCCATGATCATGCTGCCTCTTCCCAGCAATAGAACCCCTAAGACAGAGTTAGCAGGTAATAAAAGTATCATGGGAGTGTGTCTTAAAGTCAAGGTCGCATTTCAAAGAAGTACGCATCAGAGCTGGCGTGTAATGCAAGGACCGTGGGAGAACGTCTGGGTTTAAGACTGCAGCGGAACAGTGGATGGAGAATCTGGGCCTCCAATTCCAGGATGTAATCCAAGAGACGAAAGCCTCTTTCACAGTGGAGACCGGACAGGTAGGGGGAATGCCTGAGAACATGGTGAAAGTTTGAGTCCCCCGGTAGTAATGCTGCTGCCAACATAACAGGTCAGATCAGGCTGAATTTGTAAATCCAGGTTTAATCTGAACCGAGCAAAGTAACTCCTGGGTGACCTTTGGGAAGGAGGAATCACATGGAAAATATGGCTACCAGGGTTTATATAGCTTGTAGGCATGGTCTTGAGCAACGCCAGGGAGGAGCTTACTTTTGGTGGACTTTCTCAGGGGTTGGGTTTGGAATGGCAGGAGAGAGACCAAAGCATGGAATGGGACCCCTAGCTGGAGATCCTCAACATCCCAATCTTTTTGGATGTATGTGGATGACGGTAGGGCTTCCATCTAAACATCCCAGACTCCTTGGGTATAGGATACCGGGGACTGAGGTGGGGCTTCTACCGGAACACATAGATCTACAGGAAGCTCAGAATTAAAACGGCCAAGCAAGTTATAGGGACCTCTGAAATGTTTCTGGGATCCTTCTATAGAAAAAGGCTCCCCTCCCATCCCTGCCCCAAGACCAAGGACTAAGTGGGACACCTGGGAATTAACAATGCAATGCTCAGGGTCCAAGTTAATGGCCATCACCTGGGAGCTCCTGTTGAGAAACAGGAATAAAAGAAGGGAAAGAGGGAGGGAGAAAGGACTAAGGATAAGGGAGGAAAGATGGAGGGAAGAAAACATTGAACTTGCTTAAATCCCCGATTGACCATGTGCAGGACTGAAAGGCCTTGTGTTTGCTTGAACTGGTGTTGCTGGGTAATTGTAACCGTCAGTCTGCTAGGGCCTTGTATCCCCTGAGAAGAGAGCTCAGCTGAGGAGCTGTCTAGATAAGGGTGATCCATAGACGTGTCTGTGGGGGGTGTCTTGATTGTTGACATAGCAGACGCCGTGACACATTCTGAACAGCATCATTCCCTTCTCTGCAGTCCTGGACTGTGTGAGAGCAGAGAGAAGCAGCTGAGTGCAAAGCGACCGACCAAGCACCCACACGTTTGTTCTTCCTCTGCTCTTGACTGTGGATGCGCGGCTTCATGTTCCTGCTCGGAGTTCACCATAGAAATGAACTCTCCCGAAACTGGACACTGCCAGGAGCCATCTTCTATGGTGGACAGGTCCCAGCAGAGGATGTAAGGAGTCGGTGAGAGAGGGAGCAACGCCGTGGTGGTCAAGAGAACCATGCGGCCTGACTGACTGGTAACCGGAGTGCTTCTTTATTTATACAGAATTTAATAAGTATGGATACATTTGTGTTGTTCCAAAGCATAGATCATATCATTTTTGGGTTTGAACATGTGTTTCACTTCCTTTCCCTAGCTTTTAGTAGTCATTAGTAAACTAAGACAGATCAAACTTCTCATTTCCAATCATTTTCCTTCAAGTTTTGACATCACTGATAAAGTTATCTGTCATAACCATTTTTACTCATCAACCCCATAATCCAAGTTTTAAAAATCTAGAGGTATTTGACATCTGTTCTCAGGCTGGTTGCTTTTGTGGCTACAAAGACATTAGGACAAAACCATCTTTGAGCAATCGCAGGCATAGTGCGTTACTAACTCTTAATGGCCCGAGTGCCTAAGAAATCTCCTCAGGCAAGTTGCTGCAGTTATTATTCAAATTCTGGCATCATACAATGTTTATATTTCATATCTTTATAGGATACTTTTACCATCTTTCCACATCATTCTCTGCCCATCAGCATAAATCTCTGTGTAGGACATAGGTAGCTTCAGCTAGTCTAACTTGGTTGCTGTATATGCCACGCAATGGCTTGAGTGTAGACCGAGAAGAGACTTGCAATTTGATCTGTGGCCAACTCCTCTAGCCCACCAAATCTTGCTGATCTTTGTAAGTTTACTTTGCTCTATCTTGTTCCTGAGTACGTACAGAGACAGATGTTTCAAAAATGTCTTGTAGCCTCATAAAGAGACCTTTTTTATGTGTGTCACAATCTCCCAGGACACCAAATAAACTTGTTTTCCCCAAAGTTGCTTTATGTCACGATGCTTTATTCCAGCAACAGAGTGAAACTAGGAAAACTGGAATCGAAGGCTTGATTTTTTTTTTTCCTACCACTAGCAGAAGGCAGAATCCAGAGTACCGGTTATAGAAAAATCAAATACCATTTTGGAAACTGCATGTCACCCTGCTTCTTGAGACTGACTCTCAAATCTTCCAGCTGAGCATTAGCGTGGTGCATGGAGCCGTGTCAGTTCTTATACTAAGGGCCATACAGCCTGAGAGTTTCTCAGTCCCAGAGTAGGACTGTTGGCCACTCCACCTGCTACGTGGGCAGCATCTTCCGACATGTCCTGTGTTGATTTTAACTGGAGTGAAGACCAGGGACTTGTGACATTCAGACTGGGTCCACTCAATCAGGAAAAGGGAACACTGAATTCTAATGTCTGAGCATGAAATCTAATTTTTTAAAAAAAAAATGAAACAGCAGAATAAGATAGAGTGAAAACTAATGCCTCAAGAGAGATCTGTGGACCTACTAGAATGACTAAATTTAGATAGACAATCATAAATGCTGTCAGGAGCATGAGACACTGGAACTCTAATAGGTATACACTGCTGATAGGAATATACATGCACGTACCCACCTGGGGAAGCATGTTGGCCCTTTAAGAAAATCTAAATACATACCTACTCTTTAACTCGATGATTCTATTATTAAGAATTTACTCAAGAAATAACATGTGTGAGCATATAAGATTGTAGTGCATGGCATCTTTAGACAAAGTAGCCAAAAACTAGAAAGGATCTAGCTTTGGGTGAGCCACTAACGGTGTGTTCACACAGTGGAGTTGTCAAAAGGTTGGATGGCCTCCAGCATGTCCATTACACACTGAAAACCTTAAAACATCATACTGAGTGAAGAAAATCAGAGCAGTGGTCACGGGGCTGAGAGAAGGAAAATGGCCCAGGGCGGCGTTGTAAATGACCTCTATCTTGCCCTGTTAATTGTTCAGGAATAAATAATATCAGAATCCATCAAGATATATACTTTCAATAGGTACGTTTTCTTGCTTCTAACCTAGATTATTAGTAAAGAAGCTGATTTTCAAAACACAAAGACAAGATAACTTATGATATAATAAATGCTGTAACAAAGAAGCACAGGATGAGCCCCACAAGCCAGTGAAGGTTTCTCTCAGGGGCTGGGACTGCTGAGCCAGAAGGAACTGAACAGATGGAGAAGTAAAGAGATTGTGGGCCAGACAGGCTGCCAGCAGATGAGACAGGTACTGAAGGAAGAAATGAACTCTAGGGTCCAGGGTTAGCATAAAGAGAGGGGGAGGGTGGAAACCACATAAAAACCGAGACTCAGGAGGCTGAGTTGGAAGAGACTGAGAAAAGCCTCCCAGTGGGCTCTGTCTCTGGCCTCATGTTGCTCAGCAGTGACATCCAGATCCTCCATGAGCACAGCTAGACAGATGACACAGGTAATCCATGACTAATTAGGACCTGATGGAGGGGATCCCTGGGGTAAGCCAAGTGTAGGCGCTGCAGGGTAACAAAGGGTCAGGGACATGATGTCAACAATGAGTTGTTATCTCTCTCCTCCCCAGAGGAGTCTGTCTGGAAGAGATGCGCGCTTCAGAAAAAGTTTTGCATCCAGATCCGGGAGAGAATCACAGCGGTGCAACTCTGGAAGCAAGAAGACAAATCAATAGGTAAGGTCAAGAGATTGAAAGAATGGGTCATACAGCAGTGTCCTCCAAGATTGAAACACTCCGTCCTGCTGGGAAGCTCCACGAGAAAGAAGGTAAACAACACAAAACAGCTTCTGGAAATCCCTGAAAGTGACCAGATTTACCAAGCCCCTCCCTCCAATAGTAAGCCATAAAGATGGCTGGTAGTCACTGTCAGACAAGACAAGCTCTGAGGTGAGGCCAGCAACCTGGAAGAAGCAGAGACCAGCTGAGCTGCCTGGAAGAGGGTTAACCCATCACAGTCACTGGGAAAGAACGCTCTCCAACCTGGGGATGTCTGAAGGCTGTGCCGTTGTTCAGGTTCACAGCTTTGTGAACTGTCTGTCACCCATGCTGGGATGATGCGTCTGTTTTTGAGTCATCTCTGTTCATGTAAGGAACCCCTCACCAATATTCCTAAAAGTAACCCCATAAAACACATTACTTTATGAGATGGATTTAAATGGTATCCATACTCTGTCATGGGCTTGCTATCTGGGTGACTAGATGTGAGTGTACTGTCTCCTTAGAAAGAGTCTTGTCACATAACAGAATGGCAGAGTTGGAAGTTAAGACCTGGGAGCAGTAAGGTCACATGCTGTAGAATGCTGGACTCAACCAGGAAGCATTGACTTACTGAGAGACCAAACTCATGACAAAATCAAATGGACAGTAGGCACAGGGGAGCAGGTTCAGGCTCAGCAACTCTACCAAAGCACCGCCTTCGTGTCTCCCTGTGGCCCACAAACATTATTTCAAGACTCCCAGAAATTCTTTTGGATGTCCCCTCTTAACTCACTCCTCTCTATGCCTCGAGTCAGAGGCCCAGTGAGGAGCTGTCTCTAGGACAAGGAGGCCTCTCTCTGACCTGAGACCATCACCTTCTCCCTGCACATGTGTGGTTGGCCTCAAATGACTCCCCCACCCCCAGTCTACACTGTTTGGATCTAGCCCAGCATGTCTCTAACAAGCCAATGTAAAGGGCCTCTAAGGTACACCCTCAGTGATGGGCAGCATAAGGTACGTCCTCAGTAGCGGGCATCAGGTTCCAATGATTAAAAGCAAGCAATTCTGCAGGACACTGAAGCACATGGCTCTTGTTTCAGGCTGTGTATGAACAAACCCTGCCACCCTGGGATGACATAATCACACCCTCCCGGCTCAAGTTTACTGGAATTCAGATCAATGTCCAAACAGCCACACTGCTGTTTCCCCATCAGTGGGAGACAGCTCTGCCTCTTGGAACCATAGGCAACCCGGTCAATGCATTTGCAACAAAATTAAGTTCTCTCTGAGTCCAATAATACGGGCCCCAGCAGAAAGCCACAGCTTTCGGTCAGAGGCATCTAGGGAAATCTGGCACCTTCCTACAGGGTGCGTGCGGTAGAGAACCACACAGGAACTATACACTAGGAAGAAGATTCCAAATGGAGATGACTTGGGGGAAGGGTGGTGGGGAGCTAGGAAGTTGGGAGCTATCCATAGCTCCCAGTGCCAAGCCTGTAAGCACCTTTGGCAAATGGTCTCAAACTGGACATGAGTCACAGTGTGTTCTGGCTTCTGAGAAGGCAGTTGCTCTCAGTCCCCTTGACTCAGCCTTCAACTCTGGGGAGCAACACTTAACTTGCAGTCACCCAGGGATTCCAGGCCCAGAGGAAGCTGTCCCAATCAGAGCCTCTTACCAAGCCACACACCCCACACATCACTCTGGAGGCCTTAGCTTCCTACTGGAGCAGGAACCAGATACTCTTGGAAGTGCAGGGTCACAATTTGGCAGTAACCCCACCCCAGTCAGACACTTTTGAGCCAGAAGAGACTGCCATCCCATCTGGGTGGGGGTGGGGGGAGGTGTCAGACTCTACTGTGGTGGTAATAGAAACCGGGCATGAATCAAGAAGGCGAAGGGGAACTTCAACCTTCTTGGGTTAACAGGTCAGGTTTATCTGTTGGAAAGAAACTAACTGGCCCCTCGCCGTCAGGAAGAGAGAGGGAAATAAGATTCCCCAGCCACTTAGGGCCTGTCAACTCGTAGTAATTATTTTTTTTTCTAATGCATCAGCTGTTTTTCCTGGACCAGCTCTCTTCTCTATAGTCCACAGCGTCTCTGATGAGGAGGTGGCATCTGGAAGTAGTCTACAAAGCAGGACTTCGGACCCAGGTCTGAGCACCCTCTTCACTAGGACCTCAGTCAAGCTATCCAGCCTTTTCTGTACGTGCAAAGGGGGTGATAAATGGGTCTGCCATGAGGATTGGGCTTCTTCTGAGGAGCCTCAGTTGACTGATACATGGACGTATACATGCTATATGCAGGCATAGTTGTTAGTGTCATAATTAGACTTCCATTGCCGTGATAAAACACCATGACTGGAGAAAAACCAGAGCAGGAGCTTCCGAGAAATTACAAGGGTTAGAACTTTAAGAAGGTAGCATGCACACTGTGAGCACTAAATAACCCAGAGGTGCCTGGGACTCGATGTGGGTACGACAGGGACAACTTCCGAAGCTATTAATTAATCGAGGCAAGCCGAGTGCCGAACAGCGTTACTAGGATACAGCCACAGAGAGTTGGGGTGCACATCTGGGCACAACTGGAAGCCGAAGATCATTCCTCTTACAACTCGGCTTGGACAAATGCCAGGCCCACCAGAGGCACTGAGGCCCGCGAGATAAAGGCTCAGCCAGGATCAGAGGGGCTCCAGAGAGTGTTCAAAATGCCCCTGCGGAGGACTAAACGAAGCAACAGTGCTGAAGCCCAGGGGCACGTGACTCAGCCCAGCCATCTCCAGCCAGGAGCCACAGTATGTGCAGACCATGTGCTGGTCTGAAGGTCTGTCCTCCTGCAGGGGCTTTAAGTGACTTGTCACATCTTCCTCTCCCAGTAGTAGCTGTATCTGCCTCTGCAGATTTGACCGACCACAGATCAAAATTATAAGGGAAAAGTTAAGCCCCGGAAGCACATTTCTGTAACTCTAGCACATGGGTGACAGAGGCAGGGAGGAGTATAAATTTAAGGCTATACTGGACTACGTAGACTGGGACTCAAAAAAATTACAAAGGAAAGTATTAATCTGCACTAAATATGAATGGCCTTTTGTTCCTGTTGTTACTTCCTAAACATTACAATGTGGTACTTATTTATATTACGTTAGGGATCACAAATGATTTAAAGGTAATTTTTAAAAGACAAGAGAATAGATGCAGAGTCTACCCAAGTGCTTTTTTTCCTCTAAGGAACTTGCACACTCATGGATTATGGGCATTTGAATGGGTCCCAGTGCTGATATATTTGGAAGGATGAATGACAGGCTACACTTCTATTATCCCCAGTACAGAAAAAGAATTGGAACCTCAAGACTTTACGTCAGTCTTCTAAGTTGGGTAGTACAAATAGCACGCTAACTATATTCTTGCCCCTGTCCACAAATTAACTAATGTTACTAAATGACAAGCCAATTTGTAGGAAAGAGTAAATGTCATCGTGAGTCCTGCCTAAGAACACATATGCCCCATGGTACCATAATGGCACAAATGTTCTGGGAGTAACTAATCACTTTCTGATTGCCTCTAAGGCCCACTCCATGGGATGGAACTCATCCCTGACACTATTAAAAGTATCAAGAACCTGTGGCTAAATAGGCCCCAGGCCTTAGGGGAGAAACCAATACTATATTTCTACTCAGTGATTATAGTATTAAGAGGACTTCAAAGGTATTATTGATATAATAATAGATAAGTGTAGCATCTCTCAATCCTCATCAGAGAGTAGATGGTAGAGACCTTCAACTGGTCAACCTGCAGAGAACAAGAGACAAGGGGTCAGGCTTAAATGGAATATAAAAATCCCAAACAGCCCTCCAGGGTTCAAGGCTCTTCATGAAAGAGGGTCCAGGAAGATTCTAAGAGCCAGAAGTGGTTGATAACTTCAAGGAAACGGTGTTTCCAGACACAACAGGGCAGTTACAAGGATGAGTTCCCAGCAGTTGTGACAGTATGTGCCAGGTCTGTGCAAACAGAAATCCCAGCATGAAGCTAGGAAGGCAGGAAATGAATCCCTCCCCGAGTTGAGAAGCCACTGGCATTTAATGCTTCTTGGTAAAAGAACCTCTGTTTTCTTTAATTATGTGACCCCCCCCTCCACCCTGTAGGCCAACCACTCGTCAGAGCATGTCCCACTCCCTAGTTTTTGAGAAGTATATGGAACTTGATGGGGAAGGAAGAAGAGTCAAAGTTGAATGGGTAGGAGGTGAGCAAGGGTGAATATGGGAGGAGGAAAAAAGGAGGGGTGAATATATTCAAAATGTGTTGTGTGAAATTCTCAAAGAATTTATGAAAATATTGGTTCATTTTTTTTAAGCACAATATGTAAAGCTGTCACAAGTTTCCAAAACCTGGTGTTAAGTCTCCCGATTCCTGGAAGCTGCAGGGAGCAGCACATTTCTAAATGGTGCATCTCAGTGAGCTGAGACTGCTCTCCAGGATGAGTCATGGGGAGGCGGGAGGCAGCCCCTGGAAGCTGAAGCACTGATAACAGCGGTGTTCTCTGTCCGCCCACAGGGTGAAATCGATGAGGAAGTCTCCATTTCCAGAGGGCAGCTTGCCAGCTACAACCAAATGGCTGAAGCTGGGAGGCCACACAGGAAAGGCTGAGAAAGACAGGCGCTCCCCACCAAAGTGTTCTCACGCAAAACCTTAGTAATTAAAAGATCTTGGCAGAAATCCCAGTGAACTCATGAGACAGGAGAGGTCCCAGCACTGCCTGGTAGCTCTGGAATGGAAATGTCCCTGCAGAGACTGAAGACCAGAAACCCGTACCTATTTCCAGGGTCAAAAATGAAGTTTGTCATGGACTGTCTTTTCCCAAGCTGAAAATTCCCACTCTATTACTTACTAACTGGGCACCCTCAGGTAAATCACAGAAGCCTTCTGAACCACAATAATATCATCGTTATTAAAAACTAACTGCTTCCTTATGGGATAATTTATGACTAATCATTATGCTATAGCACCAGGGTAGACAGACTTTGTCTATAGAGACCAATGGGAAATATGTTAGACATTGTGAATCAGGAAGTATATTACGTTTGCAATGTATTTCTAATATGCTGTATGCATAGAAATATATGGCGTTCAGTTGGCCTTCTTTATGCAAATTCTTCATCTGCAGATTCATTAATATTATATGTTAAAATATATTAGGGAAGAGGGCATGGACCGTGACTCAGTGTCAAGCACTTGCTTAGCATCTACAAGGCCCTGGGTTCAATTCCCACACCAAGGAAAAGACTGATGGAAAAACTGCATCTGTATGGCCTGTATATACAGAGAACATTTTCTTTTCATTTCCCAAACAGCACAATTATTTATGCAGCATTATATCATCGCACACACTATGAAGATTCTAGGGACGTTTGAAAATAATATGAGAAGATAAATTATAGACACAGCTTCTATGATGTCCGTGCACCATTTCACCTCTGAGCTTTGAACACGTGCAGATTTGGGTACTGAGAGAGGTACTGGAACAAACACTATGAATTTGGAGAGTTGACCAGGAGTGTATAGCATAGGACCCTTTATCACAAGAGAAAACACTCCAGCCCAGTTCACCTGTCATATCTGCTTGAGTAGGCCTCCCCATCCTGTCCCTAAGGCTGCAGTCACCACTCTCTAGACTGACATTCTGAAGCTGGCAATTGTACAGGGAGCATCCCTCAAAAGCCTTGGCAGACAGAAGACTATCCCTCTGGCCAGAAACCAGTGTTGGATGCTGAATTGGAATTGCTAAATGTCTTTACTTTGAGGGGACATAAACACCATCTACACTCTCCTCCTAAAGTCTCAACAAACCAAGATAAAATTGATGTGGGAGATCCCTCTGCATATGTATTGCTTTTATTGGATAATGAATAAAGCTGTTTTGGTCAATGGCTTAGCAGAGAAAAGTCAGGCAGGAAATCTGAACAGAGATAGAGAGTACCAGACAGACACCATATAGCTGCCAAAGGAGACAGATACCAGAACCATACTGGTAGACCACAGTCTCGTGTGATACACAGATTAATAGAAATGGGTTAATTTAAGATATAAGAGCTAGTTAGGAATATGCATGATCCATTGGCCAAACATTTTGGGTCTAGAAAGTCGGGAAACAAACAAACAGTCTCCGCCTAGATAAAATTCCACCAAAGTTTACTTTAGGGAACCCACAGGTGTTTCGGGTTTTTGTTGTTTTGTTTTGTTTTTTAACAAGGCAATGGATGAAGGGTTAGTGGACAAGAGCATGTGGGGCCATAAAACAGCTATACTGGAAGGTCTGTATTTGGTGGGGATGAGGCCTCCACCGTAGCTGTGTAGATGGAGTCCCCTCTCATCCTTCTTCCTCCCCTATACCCTCTAGTCCTTCCCAGAGACCCCACAGCCTCATGCAATTAGGGAAGAAGTACATGCAATTGGTTAAGGAGGTGGTTTGGATACCCAGGTGAGAGTCTGTGGCTCTCCACGCCCTTCCTTCCAAGAGGGAATGTCAACAGTCAACCAGCCCAGCTGTGATGATCTTTCTAATGTAAGCCCATGAGCCCAGTAGAACTCCTGAAGATGGTGGCAGTTTGGCTCAGAACATCCTCCCCTACAACAGTAGGGAAAGGAAAATTTGGCATCCTTGCTCACAGTGCTGTGGTTAAGTCCTTGAGCCATGTAAACATAGTGAGAAGATGGTGGTTACCTGATGGGGTCCCTGAAGGTGTCACCACAGGCAGGGAAAGGAACTACAAAGGAGATGAGAAAGACAATGCAGTTCAGACTGATTTAGTCAACCTGAATCAAACTTCGGGGAGTCTAATGCCAGATGGTTTGTAGATAGCATATTTCGACAAAATAGAATGTGGGAGGCAACAATGTGGGAGGATGGATGTAGGCAACAATCATCCTAATTCCAGGTACACAACAAAGATTAAAGTCTGACTACATAGAAGCTCCTTGACAAAGTACATGTGACCTTGAACATGGGTTCTATAGCTAAAAAGTCTAGAATCTAGTGTTGTCTCTGACCGAGAGAGCACAGTGGCCAGCAGGCCATAAAATGCATGAGTCATCTCCCCTACGGATGAGTTCTATTAACTGGAACTAAAGATAAAGGTCTAGGGATGGAGAGCATGGGATAATCATTCAGGGCTTGGGGTGAGGTCTGCCTCCACAGATAGTGAAAGGTCATTAGGTCATGAACATCCCTTCCCAGCCTTCTGGATGGAAAACAGGTATGTCGTCCTTTGAGGAAGCACCCCAGCTCAATTATCATTCCTGGTTTTTCCTTAGTGATCTGTGGGCACAAAGACCTTGGTGCCCCCAATGGTTACCTTCCCGAACACCGATCTCCGCATGCTAACCCTCAAAGTAGCATGAGTGGCATGAATGTGACCCTGATTCAGCAAGCAGGGAGACAGAGAGCAGTCTCCTGTGCATCCTCAAGCATAACTCATGTACGCCTTGCGAGAGGAGCACCTGACCAGGGCACTGCCAATGTTAAACAAGTGCACCCATGAGTGTCTTTTGTGATGTTTCCAGCCATTGAACTTGGTACTCAGATTTCTCACTTCCTCCTCCAGGGTCTAGCCTGCTGAGTCTCCCTGACCTACCCATTCAAGCCTTTTATGCAAGCCACCCAATTTGGCCTAGCTCCCATATCCAGTGTCCTGGCTTCGCCTGGCCACAAAGTCTGCACTGCAGCCTGCCTCTAGGCTTCGACCTGGATTTGTGAAACCTGAAAACATCCACAGGTCCCTTCGCACAGCTTCCTACTTGGTACCCAGACTTCCCATATTCTTCTCCGGGTTCTAGCTTGGTAAGCCACCCTCTCTTAATTAGAGTTTCTACTGTGTGATGAAGCACCATCACCAAAAGCAAGTTGGAGACAAAAGGATTTATTTGGTTTACACTTTCATATTGTAGTCCTTTACTGAGGGAAGTCAGGACAGGAGCTCAAACAGGACAGGAACTTGGGGGCAGGAGCTGCTGCAGAGGCCATGGAGGGGTGCTGCTTACTGTCTTGCTCCTCCTAATTTGCTCAACCTGCTTTCTTATAGAATCCAGGACCACCAGCCCAAGG